ATTAGAACGCTTGCTGCGTTACAGTCATGGGATTGAGGCCTCTTGAGATCCCTAAGAGAGGAAAAGGAAGGGACACCAATGAAGTTGAAAGGCCGCCAAAGGGCCCCTTGAAGAGCCAGGCTCATGGTGCCACGCCCCTGGGAGGATAAGGCCACGTGTGCACTATCGGCCGCATGGCCACTGGGACGGGTCTCCTGAAAGCAGAGAGCCTTGGCTATTCCAGATTGTTAGAGACGGGCTTCCTCTTTACTCTCGGGGGGAGGGGGAACAGAGGAAAGGGGGCTGGTCTCTATATTACCTTGACAGGAGGCCCATATCTCAGTTATGCATATTTTTCATGGATTCAAAGGGTCCACTACCCACCAGGAGCTGTGGGTGCTGCGTACCCGGTGGTGAACCCAAACGAGCCCGGTCCTTGCTCTCTGGGAGCTTACAGTCCAGAGGACGGGCCCGACCGTCAAGGAATAAGCAAGCAGACCAAAGAAGAGATGGGTGATGAGGGAAGTGGAATAAGGAGAAATGAAGGGGTGCTTTAGACGGGGCGGCTGGGCCAGGCCGGAGCATTGCCCATGCCCAGGCCGTAGGGCAGGCTGAGTGGTTTTTGAGAAACTGAAAGCATGTCCCTTTTTTTTTTTTTTTTAAAGTTTATTTATTTATTTTGAGAGAGATAGAGTGGGGAAGGGGCAGAGACAGAGAGGGAGAGAGAGAGAATCACAAGCAGGCTCCACGCTGTCCGTGCAGAGCCTGATGCAGGGGTCAGACTCACGAAACTGTGAGACCACGAACCTGAGCCCAAACCGAGAGTCGGATGCTCACGCGACTGAGCCACCCAGGTGCCCCTGAAAGCACATCCCTTTAGTTGAAGCATAATGAGCAGTCGGAGCCAGAGTTCTGCCACCTTCTCAAATGTTCACTCTTTATGCGTAACTTGATGCGCAACTATTAAGTATTTTAGATTTCCCCTGGAAACCTCCCCCCGGCTATGATCACAAGAAGTTGGAATGTATGTATGCCATTTGAACATGGTTGATTTGCTCCTGATTCTACTTAAAACGAGCAGCTCTAGGTGCCCTTGATCGTGTCCCGGGATATTGGGCACGCGTTCCTAGTACAAGAGAGCGTCATCAGCATCCTGTAGTGTCCCAAGCACAGATCACCGGGAACTCTCAAGTTCTAAAACTTACCTTATTACACTTTTTCTGTATCTTCTTTATCAGCTATTTGGTTTTCACGGATCTCCTTTCCACATTACCAGGTGGGCGTTAAAATACGCACAGTTTCTGCTTGATTACATTTCATTATTAAAAGGTATTTTTTTCATCTTTCACGAGGAACAGTCCAGAAACGGGAGAAGCCTAGGAGCGGTCGTTGGAAACGACCTCCAAACACCAGCAGGGTGGTTGGGTCTCGGCGTTGAGGATCGTGCTGAGTGTCCCATCATCACTAGGTTCATTGGTGGCAGAAAGGAAGGGGGCCTGCCTCTATTGAGCCTTTGTGCGCTTGTCGTGTTCGCAGGACAGCTTGAACTCACCGAGGCTTTCCGGTGCTCTCCCCCTTCCGTGTGGCACGCACATGTCTGACTTCGGTTTTCATGTCAGTGTAGCCCTCTATTCCTCTTTCCCCTTCTTGTCACTCGAGACTGATGGCCCTGCCGCAGGAAGGCTCACCATGTCACTGAGCAGCCAGTAAGCCCTGTTCCAGAACAGCACTCGCTGTTCCTTGCGCCCTGCTGTGGGCACACACCCTGTCGCCCCATACGCGGTAGGATTTGCTCGTCCCCAGCTTTCGTTCCTTCACCTGCTCCATTTTCCATTACCTGTCTGCTCTCAGATTCCCCTTCACTCTCCCTGTCTGTCCTTTTTGGAGCCTTGCTTTCCTCACTCACTCCTGTGACTTTCCCTCTCCTTCTCAGGGGGTTCATCCACCCACCTCTTCTCGTATCTGTCCCTGTTTCTCAGTCCGCTCCTTCTCTTCCTTTCCTTCCCGCAATTTTTCTGCTTCCTTGCCTCATCTCCAGGACCCATGTCTCACCTTCCATGATGCTAATTGCATCTGGCATTGAACTTTGATCAGTTACCCGACTACCAGCAGCAGGCTGTGTGCGTGCATTGTTTAGACTTCACGGTAGACTCTGGCACGTTCTGCTTTGCATGTGCGCAGGCCCCCAGCGCCTAGATGGGGTCCCGGGGTAGAGGGGTGGGTGGCTAATACATTGTGGTGGAGTAGGGAAACGAACGAAAGCATGGCTGGCCAGCTTGATGGGGTCCATTATATACAGTTTCTGGCTCTGAAGAAATGTCTGGATCTTGAAGCTTCCAGACTCTATCACATAGACGACACGGGACGGGTAGCCAGATGACGGGTATAGGAAATGCCCTGTGTTGTTTATCGCATGACTGAGTGCGAATCTCTGTGCTGGAGGGGAAAGAATGTTAGTAAGTGTGGGTTGTGGTTCTGGCTCGTCTACTCCTACAGCCTCTCGTCAGAAAGTATAAGCTCTCTGAGCGTAAGTTCGTGGATTTGAAAGTGAGCTACCCTACCCCCGAGTGTGTGGGAAGAGATGTGTAGAGGCACCGTGTGAATTACAAAACACTGGACAAGTAAAGCATTGTTGTGTTGCCTTTATTAATCGTAATACAATTAAGAAGTTAAACTTGGACTCTTTGCGGCGCTTGTGTGTTTCAGTCGATTAGACGTCTGTTGATTTCAGCTCAGGTCGTGTTTTTACAGTGTGTGAGTTGGAGCCCTGTGCCAGGCTCTGCACTGATGGTGTGGAGCCTGCTTGGGATTCTCTCTGCCTCTCTCTCTCTCTCTCTCTCTCTCTGTCTGTCTCTCTTCCTCTCAAAAATAAATACACATTTAAAAATAAAATAAAGGGGCGCCAGGGTGGCTCAGTCAGTTAAGCGGCCGACTTTGGCTCAGGTCATGATCTCGTGGCCTGTGAGTTCTAGCCCCACTTCGGGCTCTGTGCTGGCAGCTAGGAGCCTGGAGCCTGCTTCGGATTCTGTGTCTCCCTCTCTCTGACCCTCCCCGTTCATGCTCTGTCTCTCCCTATCTCAAAAATAAATAAACGTTAAGAAAAAAAAAATTAAAAAAAAAATAAATAAAGTTAGACTCTTCACAATGTAAGTATGTGATTTGCTTTTATTTTATTTTATTTTATTTTTTTCAACGTTTATTTATTTTTGGGATAGAGAGAGACAGAGCATGAACGGGGGAGGGGCAGAGAGAGAGGGAGACACAGAATTGGAAACAGGCTCCAGTCTCCGAGCCATCAGCCCAGAGCCCGACGCGGGGCTCGAACTCACGGACCGTGAGATCGTGACCTGGCTGAAGTCGGACACTTAACCGACTGTGCCACCCAGGCGCCCCTGTGATTTGCTTTTAAACCCATCTGTTGAAGGAATGTGTCTCATCATCAAACGCTGAGGGACAGCATGTAGTTGAAGCCATAGAGAGTAACTTATAGAAAAGCCTCCCTTTTATAGGCATTTAGGAGTAAAAGTAGACAAAACAAATAACAGTGAAAATAGATACGCACTTCTTTAAAAAAATTTTTTTTAATGTTTATTTTTGAGAGAGAGACAGAGTGTGAGCTGGGGGGGAGGGGGGCAGCAGAGAGAGAGGGAGATACAGAATCCGAAGCAGGCTCCAGGCTCTGAGCTGGCAGCACAGAGCCTGACGTGGGGCTCAAACCCACGAACCATGAGATCATGACCTGAGCCAAAGTTGGATGATTAACTGACTGAGCAACCTAGGCGCCCCTATTTATTTATTTTTAATGTTTAGTTTTGAGAGAGAGAGAGAGAGAGAGAGAGAGAGAGAGAGAGAGAGAGACAGAGTGCCAGCAGGGGAGAGGCAGAGAGAGAGGGAGACACAGAATCCGAAGCAGGCTCCAGGCTCTGAGCTGTCAGCACAGAACCCACTGCAGGGCTCGAACCCATGAACAATGAGATCATGACCTGAGCCAAAGTTGGATGATTGACTGAGCCACCCAGGCGCCCCTATTTATTTATTTTTAATGTTTAGATTTGAGAGAGAGAGAGAGAGAGAGAGAGAGAGAGAGAGAGAGAGAGAGAGCCAGCAGGGGAGAGGCAGAGAGAGAGGGAGACACAGAATCTGAAGCAGGCTCCAGGCTCCCAGCTGTCAGCACAGAGCCCGACGCGGGGTTCGAACTCACGGACTGAGAGATCATGACCTGAGCCGAAGTCGGACGCTCAGCCGACTGAGCCACCCAGACGCCCCTAGATACACACTTCTAATAGCAAATATTTACACAAATCAGTGTGATGGTTTCCTTTATGCTGATACTTTTTTTTTTTTCAACGTTTATTTATTTTTGGGACAGAGAGAGACAGAGCATGAACGGGCGAGGGGCAGAGAGAGAGGGAGACACAGAATCGGAAACAGGCTCCAGGCTCTGAGCCATCAGCCCAGAGCCCGACGCGGGGCTCGAACTCACGGACCGCGAGATCGTGACCTGGCTGAAGTCGGACGCTTAACCGACTGCGCCACCCAGGCGCCCCTATGCTGATACTTTTAATGCAGAGATGTAATATATAGTGTTCTATTTCTGATACAAGTGAGTTGTAGAATGCCCATCCCCATGAGCTGCTTATCTTAGAGTTTCAAAATTCACAAACTTGAACTTGTTTTGCGTACTTCCCAGACGGTGGGAGAGAAAAACGCACTCACTACATTCATCAAAGATGTTAATTAAGGTCTTTCTTCCTTAATTTCCTTCCTTCCTTGAAACCTTGGTCCCCTCCGAATAGAGAAAGCAGTCAAACCCATCTCACTGAATTGAGTCATGCTGAGTGCGTCTGTTTCCGACCCTTGCCGAGCTCCTCGAGCTCCTCGGATTGGCAGGTGGGCAAGAAGGGCCCTGCATCCGGGGCCTCTGTTGGTGTCGCGCTTTTCCTGCCTCAGCCAGACCCCCCCCCCCCCCCATCGTGTGCTGTCTCTGAAGTAATCCTTCCTTCCTCCTGTCGCCCCTACAGGCCATGCAGGACGCGCTGGCAGACCTTCCAGAATGGTATGGAATAAAAGGCATGCAGGCCCACTGGATCGGGGACTGTGTGGGCTGCCATCTGGACTTCACCTTGAAGGTGATCAGGCAATAGTGTCCCCATCCACTAAAGCTCCCAGATGCCCTTCTGTGGTCTCAGAAGCCGCTGAGCCCATCAGCGGCTCGGGACAGCGCCACGGCCCCGTCGCGTGGAGAAACACTGCCGGGCGCACGCGGAATCCCAGGCTTCGTGGTGGCCGCATTTTTAAAGCGCAAAGAAACAGAAACGGACTCTGATCACATGCTTCTACTTAACCCATTGTGTGCCGAAAATTCTCACTTTAGGATGCGACCAGTAACACGTTTCTTGAGGGATTAAGTTTACATTCTGGTTTTGGTGCAAAGTCTTTGAGATCTGTGCTCTCACACTTTCAGTAATACTGGCCACTTCCCAGGTGCCCCGTGGCCTCATACTGCTAGTGGCCACCCTCCTGGACAGCGCAGATATACAGAGCTTTCTGCGGGTCCACGAGCTCCCGGGAATGACATGTGCCATGTCGTGTGGGCATTTTCCCGAGCAGCGGGCCCAGGGCTCCAAGGGGTTCATGTCACAAAGCAGGTTAAAAGCCGACAGAGCCAAGGTTACCGCCATCTCGGAACTGGGCGCCCTTGACGTTGGTAAGGACTGGGGCTTACCCAGGGTTCCAGAGAGCTGGCCTGTGTGGAAATGCTGCTCAAAGGTCGCTACTCAGGGCCCACCTACTCTGGAAGGTGCCCCTCAAACCTCTTCCTCGTGGTCCCTACAGACTAGATAGTTGTCATGTTGTCGTGTCTCACCTGGTGGGTTCTGTGTTTGTTTTTTAATTCTTCTGATGTCTCTTTCCTGCTCAAGGCTTTTGTGCTCTTTCCTTTAGCTCCAAACTCATCCCTCACCTTAGGCCAGATCTGGAGGAGGGGACAGCAGCCAAGACGCAAAATTGACCTGCCTTTCTAGAGTCTTCCTACCGGCAGCCGTAGTGGTGTCCCCGGGGTGGAGCTCACGCCGCCCTGTGCCATCTCCCCCACGGAAGTGGTCCCCCTCACCCCAATGGCAGACATGAGAAGCCCCCCGTAAGAGAGCCGGGACTTTGAAAAACAAATCCTGAAACGACCAAATCCTCTTAGCACTCTTCAGAGAAGGTGGTCAGATTTCTGAATTTCAGTCCAGCTGCGACTTTTGTTCCAGCTCTCAGGGCCATCTCATTTGAGGGTCCCGTGCATTCGACTGGGTCTGGCCCCCGTGTCGAAGGCCTTTGCTCCTCAGCCAGGGTGAAGGCCGTGGGCCTCTGAGCCGTTCGGCCGCTTACATGGGATGTCTTCCGTATTCTCTCCCTTTCCCAGCATTTTTTTTTTTTTATGAAAATGTTTCTGTCTCCATTCCTGGACCCACCTAAAAATGAGATGGCTCAGGAGAGGGGACAGGCCTGGCTCCATAGGTGACACCTGACTGGCACTCAGGCCATAGGGTCGACTTGCATGTCATTGGCGTGCAGTGAGCGCATTTGAAGGATCGTGTAAAGGGGGGAGCATCTGTCCCCTCTAGGTCATATAATTTGCATTCAGTTGATGCCTAATGTATGCCTCTTCCTTAAAAGGCATTTAAGCAGCCCTGGGAACACTCAGTCATGAGCTCAGCTGTCCTTTCCTTCCTTCTCCAAAATGGTATTAGCCTCAGTGACTGTTTTTTTGAGTAGAAAAGTAGATGCCTCGGGGCGCCTGGCTGGCTCAGTCGGTTAAGCAGGTGACTTCGCCTCACGTCATGATCTCACGGTCCGTGGGTTCGAGCCCCGCGTCGGGCTCTGTGCTGACAGCCCAGGGCCTGAAGCCGCTTCAGATTCTGTGTCTCCCTCTCTGCCCCTCCCCTGCTTGTGCTTTTCCTGTCTCTCTCAAAAATAAGCAAACATTAAATAAATAAATAAATAAATAAATAAATAAACCCAACTAATCAGATCATAAAATGGGCATAAGACTTAAATAGATTAGGAAAAAAAAAAAAAAAAAGATGCCTTTAATTGTTTTCCTTTACCTTAAGCCCTGGAGGAAAGTATAGCCCCTTTGTCAGGACAGAAACAACATAGTGTTGATAGTTATTTTTGATTCGTGAGCAAAGGAGCCAGGGAATGGGGGGCGGGGGGGGGGCCTCTTTCCTAGCATGCTTTGACCACCTGCGCTCGGGGGCCGCCAAGCATGCCTGGCAGGGGGCACCAGGGAGGGCTTCTCCAAGAGGAACTCGATCCTCCCCTCTCCTGCCCGTCTCTGCCCCTGCCAGGGGCCATCACAGGGCCCCACGTGCCTGGGACTGCAGCCAAAAATTGGCCCCAGTGCTCGGGAGGGACAGGAGGGGAGGGAGAAGGGGATGTGGCCGGGGAGCACGGCAGCCCGGAAGGAGCACTGAGGAATGGAATGACTCTGTTTTCACTTGCCAGGTGGACGGGCGCGTCACGGGAGAAAAGCTGACGGCCTACACGGCGACCCCCGAGGCCATTTACGGCACCTCCCACGTCGCCATCTCTCCCAGTCACAGACTCCTGCACGGGCACAGCTCTCTGAAGGAAACCTTTCGGAAGGCACTCGTCCCTGGCCAAGGTGAGCTGGCAAGTTCAGGCCACCGCTGGGATTACACTTTAGGGACAGCGCTTCCCAGGTTCACGGTCCTTTCACATACGTCATCCTGTGTAATTTGTCCTTCACCTGGGCCTGACTTGGTACTATTTTATTTTATTTTAATGTAGAAAATTTTTAATTTTTTTAGGTTTATTTATTTTGAGAGAGAGAAGGGTAGGGGCAGAGAGACGGAGGAGAGAGAATCCCCCGTGGCAGGCTCCACACCATTAGCAGAGAACCCGATGTGGGGCTTGAACCCACGAACCACAAGACCATGACTTGAGCTGAAATCAAGTTTGGACGCTTCATTGAGCCACCCAGGTGTCCCTAAAATTTTTTTTTTTTAATGTTTATTTATTTTTGAGAGAGAGGGGTACACGTGAGCAAGGGAGAGGCGGGAAGGGCCAGGGGAGGCAGACTGGGAGGGTCTCAAACAGGCTCCATACTCCACGCGTAGCCCGATGCAGGGCTCGATCCCACCACCCTGGGATCATGACCTGAGCTGAAACTAAGAGTCGGACACTCAACCAACTGAGCCACCCGGGCCGCCCCTGCTTCTTGAGTTTCTGACCAAAAGCTCAATTCTCTTTAAATATAATCTAGATTTAAAACCCTTTTCTGATAGGAATCGAATCTCCCGCTTAATGTATAATTCCATCCTCAAATACAACTCTCCTGATGACGGCGACAGGGAAGAAGCCAGTGTGAATCAGAGGAACCATTTTCAACAAGTTCATTTTAATATTTTAAAGAATTCCCACCGTAATCTGGGCAGATGAGCAGAGCGGTCCTCAGTACACGCCTTCAGTCCGTGGGACAGGCTGACCTGGAATCGGCCCAGAAGGTGCTATCGGTCAGTGTGGATTTGAGGAGTTCCTGTGAGTTAGTCCGGATTCTGTGGTTGCACGCAACAGAATCCATCCCTGGCCAACCCAGAGGACAGAGGGAACAAGCTGGAGGCTGTGGGAAGCTTGCTGACTGGCAGGAACGAGTCAGGAAGAAGACTTGGCCCAGGGCAGCCAAGGGGTTTTGGCAGCTGGAGCTGACAGTCTGCCAAGCGTCACTGACTGAGTGAATCTGCTCCCACCTCGCCCTCAGTGCTGGGGCACTTGGTCCAAGATTTCTGTTGCGGGGAAAGGTGTCTGAGTGGTGTAAGTGAGGCCCTTGGCCTTTTTCTCGGGCAAGGGAAGGGCAGACACATTCCTTGTTAGACCACCAAGACTATAACCAGTGAGGAGGGGTAGCTCCCCCTCAACAAACTCGGAGGCTCTTACCAGAGGAAGGCGGTACGGGCCCTGGGCAGGCGAAAGGAAGTCCCCCATCTGTTAGAAGTAGGTCTCCAGGGGCGCCTGGGTGGCGCAGTCGGTTAAGCGTCCGACTTCAGCCAGGTCACGATCTCGTGGTCCATGAGTTCGAGTCCCGCGTCGGGCTCTGGGCTGATGGCTCAGAGCCTGGAGCCTGTTTCCGATTCTGTGTCTCCCTCTCTCTCTGCCCCTCCCCCGTTCATGCTCTGTCTCTCTCTGTCCCAAAAATAAATAAAAAAAAGTTGAAAAAAAAAAAAGAAGTAGGTCTCTGGAGAAATGTAAATATTTCTGTAAAGATCTCATCCTTGTTCTCTTTTCATAGACTAAATTTCAACCCAGAGCACACAGTCTGAATTATCAGGGTCTGAATTATTTGACTACAGAAACGATAGTCATGGTGACGTCAAGTTTCTGTTTGTTCGTTTGTGTGTTTGTTTTCATTGCTATTCTTAAAATAACCAGAATGAAAAATTTCCAGGCTGGAAAGGTAGACAATGTCATCCCAACCTCCCTTCGCTTGAGATATAATTGCTGGGGCACCTGGCTCGCTCAGTCAGTAGAGCACGCAACTCTTAATCTCAGGGCCATGAGTTTAAGCTCCATGCTGGGCATGGGGCCTACTTAAAAAACAAAAATGAATAGAGACTTAACTGGTTACTTCCAGTATAAGGCCAGGGTCAAATCAGCGAGCACTCAGGAAGAGCCTGCTCCGCGCTAAGCACTCAGGGACGCGCAGAGGACCGCAGGTCTGCCTTCTTCCGCGGGGTCACGACAGGAGGGCCAGATGCACGTGCGATTCACTCTGGCACAAGACGGATCTCATCTGCTGTCATCTCCTGTTACATCAAAGTAGAAAACAAGACTTGTGTTAAAATTTCGGTCCAGTGTCGCTCTCTCTGGTTTACTTTCTACCTACTCACAAGAAACACTGGGTTCTTTTCAACTGTTCGTTTAAAGGGAAAACTCTGAGTTTTTAACTCTCAGGAGCAATTTGAGATTCTTTGTGGGCTCTGATGGTTGAATGATACCTAAAATCAAAAGACAAAAAAAAGGTAAATATCTAGCTCTTGGATTTTGTTTTCTTATGGTTAATCTAGTGACACGAATGAAAATGAGGTCATATTAACAGGGGCTTCATGAGATCATATATTATAAAAGATGGAGGGGTGCCTGGGTGGCTCAGTCCACTAAGTGTCTGACTCTTGGTATCGGCTCAGGTCATGATCTCAGAGTCATGAGATCGAGTCCTGGGTTGGGCACTGAGCATGGACCCCCCCCCTTAAGATTCTGTCTCCCTCTCTCTCTCTCTCTCTCTCTCTCTCTGTCTCCCTTTGTTCCTATCCCTGCTCATGCGTGCATGCTCTCTAAAATAAAAATTTTTGAAAAAATGTGTATATAGGAGATGGCGTTCCTGACATGAGAGGCACTGCATCAATTCCAGACATTTTAATGTGTAAGAAATTAAGAACTTATTTTAGCAGGTGCAAAGAGTGATGTTTTCGTGATCATTGTTTCATGATCGTCGTTGTATTTTAACCACGAATGGTTCACTAGCTTCCTTCTCACCTTTTCTTAATAATCTCTGAAATAATTCCAAATGGAACATTCCGCTCAGCGCTCAATGTTCCAGTTCTAATTTCCAGCGTGGTAATAGCCTCTTTGCAGATATCAACGTATTCAAAGTCTCCAGGTTATTTTGCGCGTCAAGTCTCTGGATTTTGATGCGTGGCTTTCACTAGTGATGTCAGGCCAGCGTGGTGCCTTGGGTAATGAGGGTTTTTCCAAAACTCACACTTAAAGTCACCACACGAATATGGCTCTGTGCCTTCTTTGGCCTCTGAGGTTACATTCTAAACCCAAACATCACATCGCTGTTGTCATTTGCCATTGCCGGCCGGCTCAAATCAGGCGAGCGGCTTGTTTTTTCCATCCAGCGTCCGTCCGGTTTTGAGGGTGACTAGTGACCACCGAAAGTCAGGGCAGCACTCAGTTGGACGCACTGGATCCCCTGCAGGAGTTGACGTTTTCCTACACGAGTCCCTGCAGCCGCTAAGGGGGTCTCTGTCTGTCAGCTCCTGCATTGGCACAGGATGGCCAAAGTTCTGGTCCCAGGGCCGTCCTGTGACTCAAGGAAGGACACTCGACCGTTGTGAGTTTGGCTTTCCCAGCGGAGCGGGCAGGGCGGTTGCGGAGGCCCTGCGGGTACAGAAGGAGCCCCGAGGGGCTCGGAGGAGGAGGGCGACACACGTGGATGGGGTGATGCTTGGGTGACAGAGGAGTGGCATGCCATGAGTTCAGGTAAGAGACGGTGAGGACAGGAGAAGAGCGGTGGCCAGAACGGAGGGGCCGGAGCAGCTCCCAGAAGTGTCTGGAGGGCAGCGAGGGCAGAGCCTTGGGGACGCCGTCCTGATTCCTGGCCGGGCCGACTGGGTTGCTGATGTCATTGACGAAAAGTACCGTGTTCCACTCAGCCTCCTATAATTTGGCATAGATTCCTTTAAGAGAGCAAAAAGTCAGGTGCTTCCCTCCAGAGTTCTTGAAATTGAGTTTATTTTCATCATTGACGTTGCCGCCTCCCCTCAGCTGACCGCCTCTGACTTAAGTCGTGTTATGTAAGCTCTGACTTGATGGAAGCCACAAACCATAAAAAGCATCAATAGGGAAACATCACCAGAGTTCTAGAAGCTGTTCTGTCTTTTCCTGGCGTCTTTTCTTACATTTCTAATATTAAAATATTCAAACCCTGAGGCTTTGGAACCAAACATTTCGGTGCTGAGTCACCAGTGGTCTACGTGATGCGTGTTTTTGCCCAAAGGGTAAATGAGGTCTCCCCAAAGGGTTCCTCAGAACGCTGTTGTTGTCAACAGCATCTGAGAGCAAGAGCCCCACCTCCCCGGGAGCCCCGGAGCATTCAATACTTGTCGTCGTCCCCTCTTTCTGCTTAGTATCTGTGTGGGGACAGAACCTTTGCTCTACACTGTGACTGCCTAAGAGAGCAGAGCAGATGGCGTGTTTCACACTTACGTGACCACACAGCCCTGTTTTCCGCAGAGTATCCCTGCACGGAGCCCGCTTTGCTGAACACCGAAGGGAATCCATCTGCCTGTTTTTTTTGCCAGAGGGCACGAAAGACCTGCTGGCTTTAGCGGCGGGCCCCGGGGAGCAGTGGGCACCTTTTCTGCCCAGGACATTTCCTTTGCACTGATGTGTTTGGGAGTTAGGGAGCCACTGCAGGAAATGCTTCGGTGACTTGGGGTTTCTCCGTGGCTTCCTTGTCTTCCTGCTTTGCGTTGCCAGCGCCTGATCAAGGAGAAGGACGGAGAGCTCTAGACCTGGTCGAGAGCTTCAGATTTTATTTGATTTTGTTGTTTCTAAGAAATAGGTTTGGACCAGGGACAGCATGCAAGTTGCTGGTCTGTAATCATTACAAGTCTGCCAGTTCTTAAGTTCACAGACTGATTTGTTTTTCCTCGTTGAGATATAATTCACATACCATGAAATTCACCCTGAATTTAATTTTTTTCGTGTTTATTTTTGAGACAGAGCGTGAGCGGGGCAGGGGCAGAGAGAGAGAGAGAGAGGGAGACACAGGACCAAGCAGGCTCCAGGCCCTGAGCTGTCAGCACAGAGCCCGATGTGGGGCTCGAACTCACACACCATGAGATCATGACCTGAGCCAAAGTCGGACGCTTAACCGACAGAGCCACCCAGGCGCCCCTCCTTCCTTTTTTCATTGTTTCACCCTTCAAGTGCACAATCCCGTGGTTGTTGGTCTATCCACAGAATTGTACAACCGTCCGCCAGTGTTAGAACATTTTCATCACCCCAGAGAGATCCCACAGCTCGTAGCAGCTGCCCCCAATCCTACAGTTTCCCCCAGCCCTGGGCAGCCACTAGTCTACTCACTTCATAGATTTGCCGATTCCCGACATTTTGTATAAATGGAATCGTGCGGTCTTTGTCCTTTTGTGACTGGTTTCTTTTCACTTAGTGTAATGTTTTCAAGCTCATCCATGTTGTAGCCTGTGTCCGTACGCCATTCCTTTTTCATTTCAGGATAATGTTATGCATTGTACTCATCCGTTCATCGGTTGATGGACGTGTCGGTTTCACTTTCTAGCTGCTATGAATGATGCCGCTGTGCACATAAGTACAGATTTCTGCGTAGACGTATGTTTTCATTTCCTCATATATGTATCCAGGAGTAGAATTACTGGGTCATATGGTAGTTCTGTGTTTCACTAGTCGAGGAAGTGTCAGACTTTCCCGCAACAGCTGCACTGTTTTACGCTCCGACCAGCAGCGTATGAGGGCTCTGATTGCCCCATGGCTTTGCCAGCACTTGTTACTGTCCTCCTTTTTGAGTATGATCATCCTAGTGGGTAGGAGTGGTGTCTTACTGTGGCTTTGATTTGCATCTACCCAGTGGCTGACGGTGCTGAGCATCTTTGCATGTGTTTGTTGGCCATTTGTGTACCCTCTTTTTTAATGTTTTTTTTTTTTTTGAGAGAGAGAGAGAGAGAGTGTGTGTGTGCATGCACACACGCACGCGGGCATGCAAGTTGGGGAGGGGCAGAGAGAGAGAGAGAGAGAGAGAGAGAGAAAATCCCAAGCAGGCTCCATGCTCAGCTTGGAGCCCGATAACGGGCTGGAACCCATGACCCTGGGATCAAGACCTGAGCCAAAATCAAGAGTCAGATGTTCAACCAGCCGAGCCACCCGGGCGCCCCCATTTGTGTATCTTCTTTAGAGAAATGTCTATTCAGATCCTCTGCCCGTTTTTTAATTGAGTTGTCTTTCTGTCGTTGAATTTTAACAGTTCTTTACATGTTTCAGGTACAAGTCTCTTATCAGATATATGATTTACAAAGATGCTCTCCAGTTCTGGGGGTTGTCTTTTCACTTCCTATCTTCCACGTAGGTCTTTAGTCCGTTTTGGAGCTAATTTGTGTATATGGCAAAAGTAAGGATCCACCTTCATTCTTTTGCATGTGGTCACGTTTTTGTAATATATGTATTTTTAACATTTATTCATTTTTGAGAGACAGAGAGCAAGCAGGGGTGGGGCAGAGAGAGAGGGAGACACAGAATCCAAAGCGGGCTGCAGGCTCTGAGCTGTCAGCACAGAGCCCGACGCGGGGCTCGAACTCACAAACTGTGAGATCATGACCTGAGCCAAAATCAAGAGTCGGATGCTTCACCGGCTAAGCCACCCCGGTGACCCTCCATCTTTCTTTTTAAAAATTAATTAGTGTTTTGTAAGATCCAATTAATATATGTATATCACATGAAAGTCAAAGTCAAAGAGTGTTAGCAACAGCAGGAGCTTCCTTCCCCGGCCCCGTGGAATCCTTTTAGATGTGTTACTTAGGCTAGGAGTTTGGTGGCTATGACAGAGTCCTGACAACACGGTGACTTAAAAAGACATAAGTTTGTTTCTTGCCCGCATGAATCTCAGAGCGAGTATAACAAGTCTGCTTTATGAGTCAGTCACGGCCAAGGCTCTTTTCGGCCGTCCCACTGTGCCCTTCAAGGCTCTTGGCCTTCCCTGTGTGCTCTGAGACGTTCAGCACATCGTCTGCATTGCGTTAAGTAACCAGCGGAGAATGAAGGGCGTGCTCCTTCCCTCTGAGTGCATGACCTAGAAGTCGCTTCTGCACGTACCCCGTGGCCACACTGGCGGAAGGGAGGCGGAGCAGTGCTGTCGTGAGCTGTGCAGCCGAGCGTCCAGCTAAGTGTTTTGTTGCTGAGTCGGAGGGAGAGGCAGGTCCGGGGTCAGCCTGTGTCCCATGTGTTTCTCTGGTACAGCCCTCCCTGTGTCTGGGTAATGGGCCTCCCCTGCTTCCCCTCAGCTCACCAGTTCTCGACATTACCTTGCGACTTTTACTGTCACACCTCATCTCCCGTCCTCCTCCTCACGTTTTCTCGTGACCGCAGACTTCACGTGTGTGCACGTCTTCTTTGAGGAGGGGCAGTACGGAATCGGAAACCCGGGTCTCCCCTTTGGGAAATGGCAGCACTTAGGCGGCTCGGGCAGCAGGTGCCTCCCAGCTGTGGTACCGTGGGTGCTGAACCTCTGCCCTGGAGACCCGTTTGGGTTGCGTGTCACTCTGTCCCCACCCTAGCCCACCCTTTGCTTCCTCACCCCCCCCCCCACCTCCTGCTGCCAAGGTGAAAGGTGAGAAGAGCCGGTTTAGGTGCCTACAGAGCCTATCTTTCCCTCTTTGAAATGAATAAATCTAGGGGCGCCCGGGCGGCTCAGTCAGTGAAGCGTCCAGCTCTTCATTTCGGCCCAGGTCATGACCTCACAGTATGTGAGTTCGAGCCCTGCATCGGGCTGTCTGCTGTCAGCACAGAGCCCACTTCAGATCCGCTGTCCACGCCCCCCCCCCGCCCCTCCCCAGCTCGCACACATACACGCACTCTCTCTCCCTAAGATACAATAAACATCAATAAATAAATAAATAAATCTTACTTCCTGGGCATATTCTAACTTTGGGGTTTGTAAAACGTATTTCAGATAAATTATAGAAAGTCTTAAAACACGGCAAATACAGGTAGTAAGAGTTCACAAATTATAACTGCGGTCAGTTGCTCATGTTGCTGTAAGCGCAAGTGAGCTTGCTAATTGTTTACCACTCCTCATCCCTTCTTCCTTTGGGACTGCGTTTGCGTCTTCATGCTTCCATTCCTGCACATCGTCAGTGAAGATTCATCTATTAATGGCTTGTCTCCCTGCTGTGGTAGTTGTAACAAGCTTCATTTAAGATGGCACACTGTTTGGATAATTCCAAATTAAGCGTTTTGTTACGACCACATAAATACCATTCACAACTGAGCCAAGGACACTATGGTTACTTTTTCCTTTTGGTAGTACTTTCTGTTTTGCCTGAAGTTAATGATGTCTTCTTTTTTTTTTTTTTTTCATCTGCTTTGTGTTCTTTGAATTTCTAAGTCTTCCCACACCCTCCTAGAGGCTCTTTGAAACTCCTCTCAATACAAATTTTCTACACATTCCAACCTGTCAGATCAAATGTGTTGATCCCTCTTTTCCCCCCGGAAGATGCTTCTTGGGCCCTCTATCCTGCTCAGGCCTGACCCGGTCACTCTCTAGGCCTCTGCTGCCCATCTGCTGCCTAGGGCTTCCCTCTCTCTTTGTTCTGAGAGTCTCCTGACCCTCTTTCCTTTGTTGGATCCTCTGTTTCCTAGATCCCGTTTCTGTCTCTTTCTTAATTTACCCCTTCGTTTTGCTGGAACACATCCTCTGCTGTCTCCTGAGAAAGAGTAAGTGGGAAGAACTGTTCTGTCTTTATATGTCCGGATCTCTCCTGCTCTCTGCTTAGTTATTCTCTACTCTCTTATCCACCTCCGTTTTCAGGTGTAAGGATTTGGAATTCCAGACATCTCCTGGTCATCGTAGATGTTTGTGTTGCTTGTTCTTCTGTATATTTGAGGTATTTTTTTTTTTAATGTTTATTTATTTTTGAGAGAGGGAGAGCACATGAGCAGTGGAGGAGCAGAGAGAGAGGGAAAGAGGGGCTCAAACCCACAAACCGCAAGATCATGACCTGAGCCAAAAATCAAGAGTTGGCCACTTAACCGACTGAGCCACCCAGGGGCCCCCTGAGGTACTTTTCAAAAGGAAAAAGGAGTGGCGGGAACGTCTTTTACCATCTGGAAAGTAAACACGCCATTTCACTTCTTTGGTTGTGAGCATAGATGAACATTTTTGTGCATTTGCTTCACCTTTTGACTTTCTACTGGTGTGAATTATCCATTGATAACTTCGGAGAACAGATTTTTTTTAAACCGTTAGCACAAGACACAGAAGTCCCAGTGCTTATTTTTCTCACTTATCTCCTCTGAGACTCAGATGGTGTGAGTACCCCAGCTGTCACTTGTTCTCATTTTCAGACTGCCTCACGCCCGTGACGGCCGTGAACATGCTCACCCAGCGGGAGGCCCCTGTCGTTATCTTGGCCAAAGCTGACTTTGAGGGCTCTCTGGATTCCAAAATAGGTGAGTAGCTATTAAAACATAATCAGGATAATATACTTAGCAGGCTTCCGATCAAAAACCCCAGGCTGTCGCTGTCAACTGCAGTTGCTCCCTGCTGACTCCATGGTCTGTTTTGCCTCTGGAAAAAAATGATATGCCCGTCATTTAAACACCCCTTATTTAATAACTACATCTTGAAAATATACCCAGGAGTCCACACCTTGCTAGTTGCTATTGAGAGTAATAAAAAGTATCCGGCCAGTAGAGCTAGTTTGTGAGACGCATACGTATGGTACGGGGAATACTATAACTCAGATGAAATCTGATTTCGGAGCTCCTAGAGCCAACAGCAACTGTGGAGATGGGGGTTCTGAGCACACATGATGGATTGGGCTGGGTTTTGACAGAGGTCTGTGGGGGAGGTGAACTTGAGCCCTCCAGGGAAGGGACCGTGACACAGCAGTAGGGTTGGCAGAGGTGCATTTAGAGCTGTGCGTTGGATGTCCCCTGCGGCCTCGCTCATCCCTCGCTCATCCTCAGGTGTCGTCACCTAGCGGGGCTCGGGGGTGAACCACAGGCTGAAAACTAATGACAGCGCGTGCAAAATCCGCCCTTTGGATGGGCCCGAGCGCCCCTCTTCTCCAGTATTCTGGCTGCAGATCCCAGCCACTCTCAAAGTGCCAAGAATCTGCAGAGAAAGTTCCTTCCACTCTCAGTTTAGTGGCACCCAGAAGAAATAGCATTTCTTATCAACATCACGTTTTCCCTCCCAATTCCCAGATCGGTTTTTGGCAAAGAGATTTGAAGAACCAGCCAAACAGAAAATGGATATTAAGGCATTCAGGCCATTCCCTTCTGACCATTGGAACCTGGAAAATGTGTTGCTTGAGGGAAATAATTCCTTCTATTTACTCTTACATATTTTTTTTTTTAATTTTTTTTTTCAACATTTATTTATTTTTGGGACAGAGAGAGACAGAGCATGAACGGGCGAGGGGCAGAGAGAGAGGGAGACACAGAATCGGAAACAGGCTCCAGGCTCTGAGCCATCAGCCCAGAGCCCGACGCGGGGCTCGAACTCACGGACCGCGAGATCGTGACCTGGCTGAAGTCGGACGCTTAACCGACTGCGCCACCCAGGCGCCCCTACTCTTACATATTTTGTAATTAGTAAGATTCATTAATACAATCAGCCAAGACAAACAATAAAAGGACCTCTTGTTGATGTGGCTTTTTGCTTTTACAGGGGGTGAGGGGAGGGGTGTGTTTTGAGTCAAATTACTGGCACAGTATTGAAAATTCTGAAAGAGAAAAAAAAAGTCTGATTTTTTTTTTTTTTTTTTTTTTTTTTAGGATGTGCCTGGAAATAATTTTTCCTGTTGTCTTGAATTCCCACAGTGACAGTATTAACATTTTCTAAGTTACTGCTTCTTGCCTTCCAAGAAGAGCAATAGAAATAACAAAGAGAGAAAGTGGTGTTCTTGCCATTTCACCTGCACTTTACAAAGTAGTCCATGTCCGGGGCGCCTGGGTGGCTCAGCCGGTTAAGCGCCCGGCTCAGGCTCAGGTCATGATCTCACAGCTCATGAGTTCAAACCCCGCGTCGGGCTGTGTGCTGACAGCTCGGAGCCCGGAGCCTGTTTCCGATTCCGTGTCTCCCTCTCTCTCTGCCTCTCCCCTGTTCTCACTCTGTCTCTCTCTCTCTCAAAAATAAAGACTAAAAATAAAATAGTTCACATCCTGCTGAGCCCCACATAACCCACTCTGTGGTCCAGGGCACGCTTTATGTGGTCACATGAATTTTTTGGCCACAGTGTCTCCTTTCGAACACTTCTCCTCATTACCTCAAACCATACGCTTTGGGAGGGTAACACACGGACACTTTCCAGTAATATTTATTGCTTGCCATTTGTCCTCACCCTTCCTTCAAGTCCACTCTGGACATTTGTCTGCCTCGTTAGGTGCTTTTTGTCAGGAATCTCAGCCGGAACACCACAGAACTTTCCATCACACCACGGAGCGTTCCGTCTCGCCAGGGAGCTTTAGGACACGTCTCCCAAACATTAAATCACCCTCGTGGGGCGGTGTTCCAAGGAGGTCGCCCGTGGAAATGTGACCGAAAGCACTGTATGTGTTGCCCTTAGTTTTCTCTCCCAGTGGCCACGTGACGCGTCATGTCTGCAGGGATGTTAGCAGGTGTCACGGCTGACCCTCCAGCAGGAGCTCTCAACCAGGGGCGATTTGGCCACCAGAGGACGTTTGGCAATTCTGACGTCATTTTCTGTCACACTCGGGGAATGCTACTGGCTGAGACCAGGGACGCTCCCCAACATCCTACAGTCCTCGGCACAGCCTCACAGCTAAGTCCAGGAGGCCAGCAATGCCAGGATTGAGAACCCACGGGCAAGCTTGTGTGTATGAATAGCTGAAGCCGACAGTAGGCCTTGGCCCTCTGCATGAGTGATTTACTTATGCTCAACTCCGTCTCCAGGGCATATGTGGGTTGAAGAATAAATTTCTGTTGGGAATGAAGGTACCTTTGCCTTTGGGAACAGAGCCCAGCGTGCAGAAACACAGTTGTCAGCTTTCCACTTCCGGACCGAGTGGATTTTTCCAGGGTGCCCGGAAATGCCAGGGTGCCCTGCGTCTCGCGAGAATGCCACGGTCCTTGGTCACTGAGGGAATTCAGACACGAGGCTTCTCCAGATGCTTGTGCTTCCCTGTCTCGGTGACACAAGGCACCCCGAGTCGTGTGTTTCAGAATTACAACTCTTTTTGAAGCACAGAATGAAGACTTTAAGAAATAGGGGGGCGGGTTTCTCCAAGACGGTGCTCCTTTTTCCCGAGGAATGCGCCGTGGTTTTGTAACTTCTGTAGCTAAAAGAGGGTCTCCCTCGGGAAGCTAAAGCCAAGGGTGTTAGTGCTGTCGATATCTCTGTGACTTGAGCATTTGCAAAGAAGGTGTTCTATGCTTCTCCCCTTCTGAATAGGAATTCCCAGCACCAGCCCAGAGGACGCCAGCTTAGCCCAAACCCTGGGCCTCCCCTACTCCGAAGTCATCGAGACTTTGCCGGATGGCACAGAGAGACTCTGCAGCTCTGCTGAGGTGGGTTCCCCATGGCGCGGGCCTGACAGCTTCTCAGATCATGACCTTGGCCTGGATCTGATGAGCTGTTTTCCTTCAGGTGCAGATTACAACCTGCCATTTCACTCATCCCTACACCTAATGGTCTTGCAGCCTCGTTTCTTAATCTTTGAAAACAAAACAACATTTTCTTCAAGATCAAGAAATTTGTCACCTCTAAATCAAGCCTAATCCTGGGTTCGTGGTTATCGTAGTCATTCTATTCTGGGAATCTCCTGCTGGAAAAAAAAAAAATCTCCCCTTCCGGGAAGACTGATTCCCTGGGAGAGTGACTGAAATTGGCTCTTCTCCCCAGATTATTGACTTGTTTCTACCTCAAGTTGAACTCGCCTGTGGAAATGAACACTGAAGTTAAATCGCGTTTATTCATTTGGCCCAGGTTATCTCTTGGCAGGTGGTAGGTCTGGCAGGATTTGACCTCAGCCTTGCAGTTGCCCCCGGCCAGGGAGTATGATGGAGGAGGTAGGGTGAGGGCTAAGTGGGAAACAGCAGAGCTGGTGCCTCTCGAACTTGAGCGCACCCCAGAGTCGACGGGCGCCTCGTTCGGACCCAGAGTGCCTGGCAGCTTCTGACTCAGCGCTCCCAGGTAGAACCCAAGGATTTGCACTTCTAGTGAGTTTCAGGTGCTTCTGTTGCTACTACTGATCCAGGATCCATATTTTGAGGATCCCTGGCCCAGAACCTTGCTATTCAAAGTGTGGTCCCCGGACCGGCCGCACAGGCATCACTTGCTAGATGTGGAGCCTCTCAGAGCCCCCTGAGTCTAATAAGATCCCCCATGAGACCTGTGTGCTTATTGAGGTTTGACTCTTCTGGTTTAGAGCGCTGTTTCTTAAACTTGGCCGCCCTTCAGAAGTACCTGGAAAGCGTTTTAAACTACTGATGCTTGAGTCCCACCCCAGAAATTCTGATTTGAGGGTTATGGGGTGTGAGGCATGGATTGAACATCAAGCGTGTTCACAGCTCCCCACGTGATTCTCTTGTGCAGCTGAGTCTGGGAACTGCCAGTGTCACCTAGTGAGTGCCTCCCTGGCCGTGTCTCTGAATCGCCCAGGAGATGCTTACTGGCCCCAGGCTGGGTGATCCTGATTCAGTTAGACCTGGAATTCTGGGATTTTCAGGTTTGGGAGTCCCTGGCTATGGGCTATTTGTAGATATATATACAGATAGACATATACAAAGAATAAGAGTGTGGCCAACTTGTTTTCCTTATGCGAGTGACATTTTCTGACTTCGTGTTTGTGCCTTCACTTCGTAAACGGTATCCCCAGATGTGAGTCATGCTCTCAGATACGGAACCTTAAACCTTCTCTTCGACCGTGTTGGGGCAGGCTCCCTGGAGGAGGTGCAGAGCCAAAACCAAGGTGCCTGTAGCGGAGCCCTCGATGTCTCAGCAGGGCAAGAAAGGAGGCACTCGTGGCCAAAATTAGGCTTCTGAAGTGCCCAGAGAGATACTCCCTCTTTAGTATGGGACTGACGTGAATGCATGCTCCCTGGCTTGTTCGGATAGGTTCAGGTGGTCCATTGACCCCTCTCCAGGCTCTAGACTGAATATCTAGGACAACAAACGCTTTTTGGCAGATGGAGGGAGAACAGGTGGTGAGAGGCTCCTGTCATCCGTGAGCCTCTGGGATGTAAAGACAGTGATACGTGGAGGAAGTAGACTTCCAAGAGAGCTTGTGATCATTTGCCCCGTCATCGTGTGATGGCGGGGGTGTGGAGCGTGGAGTGCGGGCCTTGCCGCGGTCGCGAGCGCTGCGTGTTCTTCGGGAGACCCTGCACACCCCAAGGACGGGGCTGCTGTTGATCAACAGCTGCGCGTATTTCTGCATATGCCTCACGCTCGTAAGCTCCTTGCAGGCGGGGGGCAGAGCATAATTATCTTCGTGCCCCCAGTGCCTAGCAGGAGCCTGGCACATAGTAGGTATGCAGGCCGTCTTCAGTGAACCAATTCCGGGGTACCCCAAGCCCCCCGTTGGCATTCCATGCCGGTTCCATTCTTACCATTAGTTTGGTTCTGGTCCCATTGATGGAAAAGAGAAATTCTATTTTCAACTTAGAAAAAATTTGTTTTAATGTTTAATTTTGAGAGAGGGAGAGATAGAACGTGAGTGGGGGGTTGGGGGCGGGGGCGTGGGCAGAAAGAGAGAGAGAGACAGACAGACAGACAGAATCCCAAGCAGGCTCCAGGCTCCGAGCCATCAGCACAGAGCCCGACGCGGGGCTCGAGCCCACGAACTGGGAGATCCTGAGCCGAGCCGAAGTCGGACGCTTAACCGACTGCGCCCCCCGGGCGCCCCTCTCTTTTCTACTTGTGTTTCACTCCGCTGTCTCTAAATCGAGAGCATTTAAACAGAGAAGAAGTGGTTCTGGTCCTTCCAGCTGTGGCTCCAATTCGTTCCCCTGCCTTGCCTGAAATGCCTTCGGCTTCAGGATATTGAACCTTTTCTCTTCCAGATTATGTTTCCCCCAACAGGGGACTGGTCATTAGAAATGCCTGTCATGCAGTTCTTTGTTGGCAGCTCAAAGCATTTGATGTCTGCAGTATCTCGGGGCCCAGGTGATGAGGAGAGCCGCGGAACTGGAGCCGGTTTCCCCGTTAGACACAGTGGACACAGGGCGTGGGGCTGACGGTGCTTTTAGGGGGTCCTCAACAAGGTTTGCACTTCTTTTAAAACCAGAGGGGAAAAAGCGAACTTTAAGGATTTCAAAATTTCATTCGTTTTCATTCCACACACTCCTAAAATGCAATTTTAACAAATGTTTTTCAAGTTTGTTTATTTTGAGAGACAGAGCACAAGCAGGGGAGGGGCCGAGAGAAAGAGAGACAGACTCCCAAGCAGGCTCCATCCACACCATCAGTGCAGAGCCCAGCGCGGGGCTTGAACTCACGAACCGTGAGATCGTGACCTGAGCCGAGATCAAGAGTCAGACGCCTAACCCGATGTGCCACCCAGGTGCCCCATAAAATACAGTCTTTGGTATTATCCTAGGGAGGAAGGGGCCACAAAGATAGAGGCACCCGGGGCTCGTGAAGACACAACATGGCCCTGCACAGACCACACACGAAAATCGCAGTCTGGTGGCATGGGGGTGGTGACACCTTGTCCCTGGGGAGGGAAGACTAGGATTTCTCTCTTTCCCCTTGCAGTTCACAGGCATGAACCGGCAGGATGCGTTTCTAGCCTTGACCCAGAAAGCCCGGAGGAAGAGAGTCGGTGGAGACGTGACGAGTGACAAACTGAAGGACTGGCTGGTCTCGCGACAGCGGTACTGGGGCACGCCCATCCCCATGGTCCACTGCCCGGCCTGTGGCCCCGTGCCGGTGCCTCTGCAGGATTTGCCCGTGACCTTGCCGCACATCACAGCTTTTACCGGCAAGGGAGGCTCCCCCCTGGCCACGGCTTCGGACTGGGTGAACTGCGCCTGCCCGAGGTAAGGGGTCCCCAGCACCCTGCTGGAGTCTCAGACTCTCTGCTCCCTTGACCTGGCACTTCGACCAGACTGGAAAGAATATGCTAGGTCTTTCGGGATGTTGGAGAGAAGGGGCTAGAATCTGAGGCCTGGCCACCGGGATGAGCACCCTCTCCTCTCCTCTCTGAGCCAGAAGCAGCAACGGGTGTCCATTCACATCCTTGCCAGAAACCCCTGGTCCCATTGATGGAAAGCCGCACATGTTCAGCATAGCTTTGTAAAAGGCCACTTCCACCCATTTCATATTCCAGAGAGCTTCTTGGAAGCAGAGAAAATGGTGTCTCCTCTCTGCCTTGGTTTTCCCACCTAGAGGCTTGGTAACAATGGAGATTGTTACTTTTCTCATAAGTAGCAGTGTGGTAGCTACGAGGGTGTGTATGCTGAGGGGTTTCGCTCTTTTTTTTTTTTTTTTTTTAATTTTTTTCCAACGTTTATTTATTTTTGGGACAGAGAGAGACAGAGCATGAACGGGCGAGGGGCAGAGAGAGAGGGAGACACAGAATCGGAAACAGGCTCCAGGCTCCGAGCCATCAGCCCAGAGCCCGACGCGGGGCTCGAACTCACGCGAGATCACGCGAGATCTCGCGAGATCGTGACCTGGCTGAAGTCGGACGCTTAACCGACGGCGCCACCCAGGCGCCCCATGGGTTTCGCTCTTTAATATACTGAAACACCTGCTCGTTTTGGAAGTAGAATTGTTGCACCGTTCGTTCCCCGGCGTATCTCAGATGTGATTCTTGTGATACCAGACCGGCTGATTAACCAACTAAGTAACGAGCACGGGCTGTGTATCTTCCTGCTTCCTTCTGTGGAGAAGCCATTTTTTTCTGGTCCTTACAGATCGCGATAAGGGTGTTAAAATTCAGCTCTGCCAGTACAGAGCTGAATTATGAGGTTGGTAATCAGGGAACCATAGTGCAGTTGCAAGGCCCAAGCTGGGGAGTCGGACAGTAACGGGTCCAAGGCCTGGCCCTGCCTCCTAACTAGCCATGCGGCCTTGGGAAAGTCACTTCACTTCCCTGAGCTTCGGTTTTCTTATCGGAAACTAAACCCCCTCGAAGGGCCGCTCGGGAGACTAGAATTGAGACATGTAATCCTGCACAGTGACCCTTACCAGTCAGTGAATGGAAGTGTCGCCACTGTCCTCCTGGGTCGTCACCCAGCTGGTTTTAAGATAAGGCTTGTGGGCAGGAACATAGGGAGCTCTGGGTCTTTTGGGGATAGAAACGTGGGCTCCAGGAGAAGCCAGCACACCCTCCGTGTTGATAAGCGGTGACAAAAGGGTCTCTCTGCCGGAGACACTGGTGGCCTTCAGCGCACCAGCTGCAGCAGCCCAGGGCCCTTGCGGTGGGGAGAAGGTTTCCTCCCCTGGTTGTGGATTCCTGGAGGTCAGAGCGCAGGTCTTTGGTATTGGTCCAGGCTCCCTGGACGATTCTAGTGAGCATCTAGGGCTGACAGTCACGGAACCGGCGTGTCCAGTGGTAAGGACCGCAGGTGCCCGAGCCCAACAGGTGTGGAGTCCTTACTCTTGAGCTCCAAGACCTTGGGCTGATTGCTTAACCTGTCTGGACGTTGGTTACTCGGTTACTGCAGAATGGGGACGTGAGTAGTACCTACCTCATAATCCCCAGGGTTCCCGGGATTAAATGAGAGAATGCCTGGGAAGCATTGGGCTCATTGCCTGCCACCCACCCCCGCCCTCGTTAGTACCGTTGGCGCTCCTAATGACAATACCATTGTCACTGCACCTGTCTCTCCCACTTACCAAGTAGCCTGGCCACATCACCAGCTTTTCGTGTCGGTCGTAAAATATGTTGGTGTCCTCAAGTCCAACGTGACCACTAAAAAGAAAATCAACCTGGCAAGTTGTAGGCGGACATTCCTCCTTTGATCAGTTGAGCCCTGAATTTTCTTCCTGACCTGTACACCTGCACTAATAGTGTGGGAGAATAAGGAATTTTTGTGTTGTAATTATTTCCCCAAATAGTGTCTACGTTCTGGTTGATTGCTTTCCAACTAAAAAGATCTGGCTTTAATTTAGAGATGTGCTGTTGAGCTCGGCGGCTTCTAGTAGCCCCGGGCGGTAGGAAACAGGATTCCCTCGGGCTCCCTCCCCTAAAGATCTGCCCCCAGGGCCCACCGCTGTCCCCAGAGGGAGGCCCCTGTGAGTCCCAGAGCCCCGCCAGATCTGGGGCTTCTATTTAATCAGCAGGAGCTTGGGGGGTGGGGGGGCGGTGGCGGTGATGGCTGTCTCCTTCAGTACTATCTGTAAAGGCAGTATGAACTGCTTCACAGATGCAAGCTCTAAATGCAAGCCTTCTTTTATTTTTAAATTAAAAGCAGACTCATGCCCTTGCATGCAAAATGAGCAGAAGATTCATCAGATCCTCTTGAGGTTCCTCACGTCCCTCCTCAAAATCTCCAAGAACCCCCAAGGACTCCGACTGCCAAAAGGGCGGCTATTTTAGAAGGGTGGTTGGTCCTACATCTGTGTCTCAAAAGGCAGAGCCTGGAGTCAGAACTGTGTTGTCCAGCAGTCCTTCTCCCTGCCACAAAGGGCCCCTGTTCACAGCTGGTGATAAATGGCGCGACCCATCACTGCTGATCCAAGCCTGGAGGAGTCTTCGGGGGTGGGGGCAGGGAGGCTGAGCCCTTCCTAGGCTAGGCCGGACTAAGGGCGCCCTCTCTCGGGCTCCTGCAAGTTGTAGGATTTTTGCCCCCGGTTTGTGTGGTTCCGTGGGCCCATCACACTGGGCACGTGCTTCGGAACTGGTTCAGCCGTTGGGCCCTTGTGGAACCTTAGTCCTCCCCAGGCATCCCCATCTCGAGGACTGCTTTTTCTTTTCAGCCCTTCACACTCCAAGGATCTCACTTCATTTGCTTTCTTGAATGGTAGGGCTATCTTTACCCTTCTGTGTCCCATCCTTCAGCAGGGGGTGTGTTGGAGGGGAGCTTCTGATTTGTGGCGTTTGCCAGTTTCTATAGTGTACGTACTTCTGCAAGGGCTAGGTTCGGGCTACTGTCTCGACATGACTTGTCAGCGAGCCGGGAAGACGTGTGAACAGTTGATTCTCACAAGCCGGTATGAGAGGTGGCCCCAGCACGCCACTGCCTTTGGACCTCCAAGGTGACCTCTCTTCCCAAGGTTTTGAATTCTGCACCCCTGGCCCTAGTAGAGATAGGGAAAACCCAAGTTTATTCTTTAGCACATCTACATTTGGTTTTCAACTTCTCTTTATAAGTCGATTTCCTTCACAAGTATCATAAACTAGGCATTGGCTGAAGGCAATCTTGACACGCCTAAAATAGAAGTTAACGTGCAAAAGAGACCCTCCGGGCTTATCCTCTTAGGTTGTTAGATTTTCTACCAGGTAAAATTCAGACAAGTGGCGAATAACGCTTTTACTTGGTGAAGGTTTAAATTTTTATTTGTAAATTTCTTCAAAACATCATGTACCGAACAATACAAAAGCAGAGTATCCTCTGAATTACCAATCCATGATGAAGCATTGTTCTTGGGACATTCTAAATTGGTATTCAGTTGTCATCGCTTTCCCAAAAGCTGGTGGAAAAACTGCATTAAAATTTAAAAATTTTAGGGGCGCCTGGGTGGCGCAGTCGGTTAAGCATCCGACTTCAGCCAGGTCACGATCTCGCGGTCCGTGAGTTCGAGCCCCGCGTCAGGCTCTGGGCTGATGGCTCGGAGCCTGGAGCCTGTTTCCGATGCTGTGTCTCCCTCTCTCTCTGCCCCTCCCCCGTTCATGCTCTGTCTCTCTCTGTCCCAAAAATAAATAAACGTTGAAAAAAAAAATTAAAAAAAAAAATTTAAAAATTTTAAAAGAAACTGATGAACTTCCTTTATTTTTTAGGTGCAAGGGAGCCGCCAAGAGAGAGACGGACACAATGGATACCTTTGTTGATTCTGCTTGGTACTACTTTAGATATACCGACCCGCAGAATGCTCACAGGTAAAGCCTTGCTGAATCCTTTGAGCATGTGTCAGTTTGGGTCCTCCAAGAAGCAGACACCAAGATAGAGTCATAGGTGCAAGAGATTTATTGAGGGCAGCGCCTGAAAGGTTGGGGGGAAAGGGGAACAGGAGCCGGTGGGGGGAGCCCTTATAGACCACAGTGCGGGTCCCATGCCCGAGAGGGGAGTGGGAGGAAGGAAGGAGGGTTGCGTCGGAAGAGTCTCAGACCACAGTGCAGCTCTGAGAAAGTCTTAGCCAGGCCGCCAGGAAGCCCCGAGCAAAGGTTATCCATTAGAAAGTCCCAAGTCCGTCGGTGAGAAATAAGCCCACTGACCCAATCAAAGGAGGCACTCGGAGACTTGGAGCACCGTGAAGCGAGGCTTTAATCAACATTCAGCATTCTTGCAAGAGCAGGTGTCTGATAGAAAGGCACGCTAGGGGGCGGTCACAGCAGACAATTTATCTCCTAGCCTGCAAGTCCCTCCCCTGGCTCCTCATTGGCTGAGCACTACAGAGGCAAGTCCCTCCCCTGGTTCCTCATTGGCTGAGTACTACAGAAGTTACCCCCCTTACTGGGGGTGGGGCGTATGCCCATGTAAGGCAAAAAGTAGTTCTGATTGGAACAAACGTACTTTCTCTGAAGTGACACAGAGACTTTTAGTCCCTTCTTTGTTCTTTGGAGCATGCTCATTGCAAAGCCCGCAAAAATAAGCCTGAGAAACAGAGAAGGGAGAAAAACCTGGAAGTGAAGTGTCCAAGAGTTTGGACTCCATTATGGGGTGGAGATAGGGGGCTGATATATACTTGCAGTAGGTTGTAAACCTACTGTTAGCTAGACAGCACAGCTTTTATTTGGTATTGAATCCTCTCCCTTACTTCTTACATCCCCTCCCTCTGGGAGAGCAGGGGCTGTAGGGATACTGAATGGTCCCAAAGGCACAACGCCTGGAAGTCACTAGTCAACTGCTCACCTTGACGCCGGCTCTCATAAGCGAGTGTGTCAGATTATTAAATTAGATTCGTCGCAGCCAAGCAAGCCCCAAGTACAAGAAAAATTAAAAAACAGACGAAGGAAGAAAATTCTGTCACAAAACCCTTCTTGGCCCTGTGGTGAACTGCGTCGTAGGGTTATTAAGATGTAATGTTTTACTTAACCGGAAGTAATGATGGGAGGGAAGGAAGTAGGGAGTGTGAGAGAGCTAGGGAGCATTGCCTCTGGTCACATACACTTGGTAATTTCTAAAATCGATGAATCAATAAAGGGTGGAATTGCCGGAAGAAACGGCTACAAGAATTCCAAGTGGCTACAGGGGAGGCGGGGTGGTGCTCACGAAGGCAGGGGGCCGGAGACCAGTGTTGAAATCGCAGACCTCTCGGTACTGCCTGAGTTTTCGGCCCTGTGCGTGTTTCTTAGGCAAAGAGAAATAAATGAATAAGGGAAAGAGCCGTAGGGAGAGAGGGTAAAGAGAATGAGCGAAAGAAGGCTGTCGCAGAGCACTTAAGATCGCACCCACCATGCATCAAAGACCTCGGCAGCCTGCTGTCATCCTCAAGAGAACCATTGCTCTCCAGCCCCGTAGTCTGCATATCAGAACGCACCCCCCCCCCACTCCTTTTCCTTCATCATTGCAAAAGAATACATTTCCAGTGAGGTGGGTGCTCTGGCCCTCCCCGTGCCGGAGTCCCGCCCTGCGAGATGGCCAGTCTGTAATTTGAGTTCAGGCCATCCAGGAATGAGCGGACCCTGAGTAAACCATAGCCGGCAAAGCCACGATGCCCGGGGACTGCCGCGGCCGGGAAGAGGGCCCCTTTTCTGGCTCTTCCTTCTAGAAGGAGCTGTTGGCACGATCCGTCCGGTAGCAGCTGCTCAGAATGCCAGGGCCGTCAGGCTCTACCTGTCAGAATGCTTCGAGGAACACCTTCTCACAGAGGATGAAAGCTCTATATCAGCGCGGACCCTCGACTGGCGAGAGATGCCTCTGGGGCCTTCCTTCACAGCCCCCCGATCTGGGAACACCCTTTAGCACATCATAAAAATGCAGCTGCTAGTTTTAGCACAGCTTGAGTGCTTACCGCCTGGCTTCCGGGGTAAATCCTGGGGCAATGGCTACTTTCCATGTCTTAATGCACTCCACACTCGTGTTCCCGAGGAGTCTCACCCTTGACCTCCCTTTCTCTTCTGGCACATGGATCGGCAGCTGCATTTTTCTGAGGAACCATTACTCACAAAGAACAAAAATTGTTTGAGTTTTACCAGAATTCTGGCACGGTGACTGGAGTACCATTTGAAACCACGGAGTACAGATCCTCCGAAGGCAGAGGTTTACTTCATTGGATGAGCTCAAGGAAGCACGTTATCTTGGGGTTAAAGGTCCTCAGCCAGGGGTGCCTGGGTGGCTCCGGTCAGTTAAGCGTCCGACCTCAGCTCAGGTCATGATCTCGTGGTTCGTGGGTCCGAGCCCTGTGTCTCGCTCTGTGCTGACAGCTCAGAGCCTGGAGCCTGCTTCGGATTCTGCGTCTCCCTTGCTCTCTGCCCCTTGCACTCTGTGTGTGTCTCTCTCTCGAAGATAAATAAACATTCAAAAAAGGTAAAGGTCCTCAGCCAGCTCTGCTCCCCTCCCCACGACACACGCACATGCACACCGGCACACACCTCTGCATACTCACAGACTCTCCCCTTCAGGGTCCCAGCCAGAAAATAGAGGGAAGTAGTATTTTCTTTACTCCCCGGGGAGTATGAGGAGGCCTTTCGTGTAGGATCTTTGTCACTGATAGCATCTGTTGGGTGAGAGAGAGATGTTGGCCCGATTTTGTGATGGTTACCCTAACTATGCTCCTTGCACGCAGGAGACCGTATACAGGCTCTCGCTGACTATCTGTGTTTTAACGCTGCTTTTAAAAGTAAGATAGAATTTCTATTTTAAAATGTACATGTAGTGTCTACCTGTTAATCTCCTCGTAAATGCCATACTGCCCCCTGTTGGTAAGAACTCACACATCCCAATTGCCTTATCGGAATAAAAACTAAAACATAAATCCACATATTCAAATATGCATTTTACAGAAATACCTCTTTCCCGGAAATACCTTTTTTTGCTGCTATGTTTTCCTCTTGTCTCCATTTTATATGGAAATTGGCATTTGTTAAATTGTCAGCAGCAACTTCTGAAACAGTTTTTATAAATTTCTGAATTTAACACGGACCTGACTTTCCTTTAGTAGATAAGTTTTTCTCTTACGATATTTTTGAAAAGAAAACGAGTGTTTCTCTGACATAATCTGTTTCAGAGCGTATGCAGATTACAGTGGGTCTGTCTGATTTATGTAATTGTGGCAAAGTGGGTTTTTAAAAAACGACCGTTTCTCTTTCTTCCAGCCCTTTTAACGCCGCCTTGGCAGATTACTGGATGCCTGTGGATTTGTACATCGGAGGGAAGGAACACGCTGTCATGCACTTGTTCTACGCGAGATTCTTCAGTCATTTTTGCCATGATCAAAACATGGTCAAGCACAGGTGAGCACGTATCCCCCTTTGCAAAAGAACTTGGTTCCGTGAACGACAACCGAAAGCAGGTGCCAGTTCTTCCGGGGACCAAGGTAAATGGAGGTCGTGGCAGACTTCCGGTTTTCAAGTGTACTTCGGAGGTCACTGTCAGCCTTCGCCACGTGAAGTGCGATTTCTGTTGCTTCGTTTCACTTCTAGCCTGTGAGATTGCAGGTTCGCACAGAATCTTGCCCTCAGCTCTTGTCTGTTTAGCGGAGTTAAGTAACTGAGCCGTTTACTTGTGAGGCAGAGACAAGCGGCTCATAATGTTGCATGGCTTTTTACAGTGTCTCGTTTCAGGTGGTGTTTATCATCTGGCCACACTCGATGTAAGCTCTTTTTCTAAGCCTGACTGAATCCTGCCTGGATAGATGACTCTGGGAAAAGCAGATAATGGATTAAAGCTGGGGAATCCCATTGTAAATCCATTGATAAATTTTCTTCCTATTGGCCTATAACCTATTCCCCATTATGGTCAGCAAGGTATATGTGCGCTTTTCCCCCCCATGAAATACATCATATATATATATATATGTATATGTATATACATCATGTATATATATGTATATGTATATACGTATACATATGTATATACAATATTGCATGTACATATGATATATGTATGTATATATTGTATAATGTCTTATACAATTCAAAGAATAAAGTGAACATTGCTGCACCCTCCTTCTCAGTTTGAGAAAGAGTACTCCAGTCCCTTAGAACACCCAGGGTCCCCTACCCAGTCTTACTCTGTCCCTACTCACCGCCCCTCCCCTGGCCAACCCCTATCCTGCATTATTCACTTTCTTCTCTTTATAAATTTATCACCTCTGTATGTAGTTTTGAAACAGTGTGTGTTTTTTGGTTTTCTTGTGTGTGAGCTTTATATGTGTAGAATCATATTTCGTGTATTCCCTCTCGCTTTCCTCGCTCAGCATTTTTGGGGGCTCACCCACACTGGTGCACAGAGTTACAGTTGCGTTTCTGTTTCCCCGCTGTGTGGTATTCGCTCACGTGGCGTGGAATTTCCAGCGCAGAACACAGTTTATGTGTCCATCCGCCACTCGTGGCTGGTGGAGTGTTTTGTGCAACAATGAGCCAAGCCAGACGGTGAGTGTTCCGGTACATATTTGCTGACATACAGTGTCAGCACGTGTCTGGCGTGTGTCCCTAAGAGCCGAGCTCCTGAACTGCGGGGTATGCACGTGCCCGACCTCACTCAGGAACACCCTGCTTGTTTTCAGACTGCTCACATAAACCTGTGCTCATGTGAGCAGAGATGAGGTCCCCATTACCGCGCGGCTGTGATGGATCCGTTTGTGGGTCACGGCTGAAATGAGAGACATTGCGCACTCAGTGAAGCTTAGCAGTTATTCACGTGTCTAGGGGACCGGTGTGTTTTCCCTTCCGGTAAATCCCTGTGTCCTTTATGCGTTGCTGGGTTGTCTTCTATTGACTGTAGGAACTTTGAAAATATTCTGGATGCTAATCCTTTTCCAGCTATATGTATTGCAAGTATTTTTTCCCGGGTCTCAATTTCTCTAATTTTTATGGTGTCTTTTGACGAGTAGAAACTCTGAAGTTAATGCAGGAAATTTTAATGACTTTTTTCCTTTAGGGCTGTTTGTTGCTTTTAGTGTCTCAGTGCCCTCAGTGGGCCCGTCCACGCATTGCCTTGCTGATCTTTAGTTGCCTCTCCATCAATGTCATGTTTCTGCGTATATATACAAGGGCCTGTTTATAGGATCTTTATTCTGTCTGTTGGTTTGTTTGCTTTTTGCTGTGCTCGTTATTTATTGGCTTTATTTTAATTTTACAGGTCTTACTGTCTGGTAAGGGTAGTCCTTCTACTTTGTTCTTTTTCTTTAGGAATAGCTTGGCTGTGATCAAATCTTTTGCCCTTCCATATGAATTTTAGATTCACCCTGTCACATTCCACAAAAATATCTATTGGGAGTTTAATGCAATTGCACTGAGTCTGGATACTTACTGAGAGCTTTTCTCACTCTTCCTTTTTTTTCTTTTAAATTTTTTAAATGTTTATTTTTGAGCCAGAGAGAGAGAGAGAGAGACAGAGCATGAGCAGGGGAGGGACAGAGAAAGAGGGAGACATAGAATCTGAGGCAGGCTCCAGGCTCTGAGCTGTCAGCCCAGAGCCTGACGCGGGGCTTGAACTCACGAACCGTGAGATCGTGACTTGAGCCGAAGTCGGACGCTCAACCGACTGAGCCACCCAAGTGCCCCCTCACTCTTCCTTTTTATGTCTCTGACCTTAACATCTGAAATCATTTCCCCTTTATCTGAAATATATATTTTAGAATATCTTTCATGCTCTTTAGTGAAGGTCCATCTATTAGCTTTTATTTGATATTTCAACCTCATTTCTTAGTTTACCAGCTCAGTGACACCTTTGAAACAATTCTTTTTTTATAACTTGTCTGGCTTTTTCACTTATTTATCAGCAGGACGATAATTTAGGTTATTTTGTCTGCCATACCATCAGGAGCATAATTCCTGGGTTTTTTTTCAATTACGGTTGTATTTTGTTTTTTGTATCTTTAATTCAGCATCTGTTACACTATTTGTTTTTAATGTTTATTTATTTGTTTTGAGAGAGAGAGCACACTCATGCATGGGAGGGGCAGGGACAGAGGGAACCCTGTGCGGGCTCCACGCTTACTCAGTGCAGAGTCCGACCTGGGGCTCAAACTCACAACCTGTGAGATCACAGCCTGAGCTGAAATCAAGAGCCAGACGCCTAACTGACTAAGCCACCCAGGCACCCCCTAGACTATTTTTTAATTGCAGAGAAAAAAAGGGAAAAAAAGATCTGATGATCTCTTCGTCCAGATAACCCATGTTAACAACTTAAAAATACAAAATAATAAAGTAATGCATGTCTAAGGTTAAGAGTTTTTTTCTTAACTGCACAGAAACTGAACATTGAAGTCTCACTCCCTGCAGGCCACCCTCCCCCCCCCGCCAACCTGTTAATGGCTTCTTTTGGTCTCTTCCAGAAAAACATTTTGCATTACCTCCATGTTTCTGTTGATAGACTTATTTTTAAAACGTGACATATATTACACACATGCCTTTTTGCTTTTTTGATTTAATAATATATCCTAGTGATCCTTCTACATCAGCATGTGCCGACCCCCCATCCTTTGTAATTTACGCACAGTACCCCATCATAATGGATCTCCCGTGATTTATGTAAGCAATCACCTATTTTTCCAATTGCTGTTACAAAAAAAAAAGAGGTGACTCTCACTGTCTGTGTTCTCAGCTGGTATTTGGGTTTATACCTGTAAGTCCAAGTCCCGACATGAAAATGCTGGGTCAAAGGATATGTTTTTAAAATTTTGATATATAAAAAATATATTACTTTAAAAATCTCAGGGGCTCCTGGATGGCTCAGTTAAGCGTCCAACTTCGACTCACGTCATGATCTCGTGGTTCGTGAGTTCAAGCCCCGCGTCCAGCTCTGTCCTGCTTCAGATTTTGTGTCTCCCCCTCTCTCCGCCCCTCCCCCGCTCATGCTCTGTCTCTCTCTCAAAAATAAATAAACACGAAAAGAAATTTTTTTAATCAAAAAATAAAGAAAGAAAAAAGAGAAAGGAAAGAAATGTCTGAATAGACTCTAAGGGGAAAAAAAGACCAACTTATTTAAAATCTGTTAATAGAACTTTGTGCGTCGCCGCAAACCTTCTGTAGAGCGTGGCGATCGCCTTGTACAAATATCTGACCTACATCATATATCTTCTATCTTGCTAGTCAAGAGCATGGCTATATATAGATGTATGTGTGCGTGTGTATTTGAATGTATAAAGGATATTTGACTTAAGCATATCTGTTTGTAGAGTGCCTGGGTGGGTCAGTCGGTTGAGTGTCCAACTTCGGTTCAGGTCGTGATCTCATGGTTCGTGGGTTCGAGCCCCACAGTGGGCTCTGGGCTGACAGCTCGGAGCCTGCAGCCTGCTTCATATTCTGTGTGTGTCTCTCTCTGTGCCCCTCCCCTGCTCATGCTCTGTCTCTCTCTCTCAAAAACAAGTAAACATGAAAAATAAATAAATATCTCTAGTAACGCAGACTACAGTCTAGTTTCTGCAAAATGAAGCATTATGAAAGCCCCCTCCCGTCACCCCGTCTCAGACCTGCTCCCTCTCTCTGTGCACACACACACAGATTAAGAGTCTATGGTACAGAAAACGCATTTAGTTTATACATCAAATTAAATGCTGAAAATAATTTTCTTCTCATTAGTCCCAGAGCCCTTCATGTGTCAAAATAAACTGATTGCATCAGAAGGACAGTGAATACATTAACAGCATTAAGCCTCAGTCGGAATGTTTGTGCCTTGAGACTTTTCCCATTCTGCCTTGAATTTCTTCTCTGTGGAAACTTCTTTACGTCATCAGATAAAACTTCCCCGTGAGGATGGGAATTGTGTCCTGTTGCTGTGACAGTATCGTAGAGACTGTACATTCTCAGTGGATATTTGTTTAAATTGAGTTTAAGCCCTTGATATAAACAGATAAAAGTTTATGCTTTTCGGGGCTCCTGGCTGGCTCACTCGGTCGAGCGTGCGACTCTTGATCTCTGGGTCATGAGTTCAAGCCCCATGTTGGGCGTGGAGCCTACTTAAAAGAAAAAAATGAAACGAAAGAAGTTTATGTTTCCACAAGGAAGTGTCCTCCTTGGGCTAGAGAGAAAACACACCATGAGAAACGTTTCCTTCTGATGCAGGTCTAGAAACAAAGACCATAAATGATTTCTGGCCCCAAGGCCCATTTGTGCTTCTGAAGTTATTTGCAGGAGCAGTGAACAAACCAATAAATGAGTCAACGGCTAACTATTTTAAACTATAAGACAAGGCCTGGCTATTTTTATGACTCCCGTACAGTGGTTTGAGAACTATATTCGAGGAGAAAAAATGTTTGCGGCGTTCGGATGTAATTGTCAAGTCCCGT